TTCGATTCGATGTGGCACGGCTCAATTCGAGAAGAATCGGTTTTTGTTACACCCCTAGTTGTCATGAAACAAATCTCTATAGAATATAGTCTCTGTAACATCTGCCTGTTAAAGGATACCATCGAATTAATATTCTTATTCTAAAATGACATGATCAAACACACACTATTTTAAGCTTCCTGACTTCCCTACCCTGTCTGTGGCTGTTCTACAGTCCGTTTCAGTTGAACATTGTTATAGCAACCCCTACTGGCAGACTTCCACAACAGTTTAACTGATGATGGCTGTATCCGAAACCGCCTACATTCTACTGACAAATGCAATTCTTTTCATAGTAGTATGCAGAATGAAACTGTTCAGTCAATGTATTTTGCAGTATGCTTTTAACAGTTTTGGTTCGTGTTTCTTGGCTGACCTTGAAGAGAGCAGAAAAAGACGTCAGTCATAAACTCACCACCACGCTGGCACTGGAGGTTCCACAATCCTCATTGTTTATTACTAACACCTCAACCTTATCAAGCCCGGTACAGCTATTTTATCATAGATGAACAAAACTGAGGCCACACGTGATCCAAACGTTACGCTTGAGTTGAGAGGCTAAAGAAAAACAGAAGCTCAGCAATGGACATCCATTCATAGCAGGTACACTGCTCAACTAAGTATCTCAAAGGCATATTTCACAATTTTGCCTGTTACATGCTAGATGGGCTTAGCTGGTTTCTGGTTTTGGAAAGCAATTTCATGTTTCAGCAGTTTTATAATATAACGTATAAGGTGACAGACTGCCAGAGCGGGTAGTAAATAGTAAACTTTATTCACCTTTTGACTTGACTTTACTACCAGCTGTACGGAGTAAAGGGTTTCAACTTCTCTCTAAAACTCTTTGTTTATTCTTGATACAACAATTTTTTACACAACCCAAACTTAAGTCGAAACCAATCCATTTAACCCTCTTGACATTTAACATTTAACTCTTGTTACTGTAATAAATAACTTTTACATACTTTTATTACTATAACTACTTTTATATTGGTATATTTCAGATTTGTAATTGGTATCATTGTGTTTTATCCAACACAGTTGACGTTTTCCCACAATTTCACTTTTAGTAAAAACTACAAAGCCCTATTACTCTTTTGAACCTTTGTTAGAAGTTGCATGTGTTTAGCACATTCAGTATTGTATTTGTAACAATGCAGCAGTCTAAACACACGTCCACTGGGGGCCTGGGCCAGTAGCCCGTTTCCCCACTGAAAAAATATGTCATTAAAGTTATACATTTGGAAATCAATTTTTAAAAATAGGTACGGTTATGACCTAAAATGGCTGCTTTGTAGTTTTTAGCAAATGTTCTCAAACCTGGACTTAATGGTTTATTTGCTGAGGACTATTTTTAACTACAAAGAAATATACCTTTAGTGTGCTAGTGAGTATTTAAACCAGTGTCATGACTACTTGGTCTTTTATAAAGATTTGAGTCATTCAGTGAATTGCTGTTTCAAAGCATTCTCAAAGTCAAAGTCAAAGTCAGCTTTAATGTCAATAATAAAATTGTTAGTACAGCAGGATCAATTCATTATTGCTTTTGTATTCTTTTAAATAAGAAAAATAAAGAATATCACATGCCTTATCCTTTAACCCTCCATTTTCTCCTTTTACCAGGCTTTAAAAGAGAAGCAGTGTTCTTACTTTCCCGCTTAATATCCTTCCCCTCTCCTTTATCAGCTGATCTCTTCACTCCTGCACTACATGGTAGGTGGCATGTACTAATGGACTGCACAGGTTTAGTGATGGTACTAACGCAAAGGGAACAAAGGGGAGATGTATATGCTGTGAGCGTGTGACGGGGCCTCCCCTCTGTGCAGAGAGGGATTCTGTTTTGCTCACGAGGTTGCCCGGCAACTATGACGTCACTGGAGTGCACGACCAACAGCAGCATCATGACAGAGATAGATAGAGAGGCAGAGGGAGGGAGAGATCACTACGGATACTATGAACAGATGTAACTACATGATATGCATCAATTCTGTGCTTGTCCTCGGAATGAGTTTGTCTGCTTTCACCACAAACCATATGGAGTCTGTATCTAACCGCAGAATAACAGTTCACTGTCTTAAAGCAATGGTTCGACAGTTTGAGAACTGTGCTTGCTAGCTCTCTAGCAGAAAGTCAGATAAGATCAGTACCACTCTTACGTTGTATTTGTATGTTAAATATAAGTCTGAAGCTAAGAGCCGGTTGGCTTATCTTAGCGCCAAGACTGCAAACAGGGAAACCGCTAGCTTCGCTTTGTCCAAGGCTAACATAATCCGTCTACCAGCACCTCTGAGCAGGTTGTAATTTGTTTGTTTAATTCGTACAAAAAAAAAGTAAGTGTAAAACAACAACAATTTGGTTATGTTTTTGGACCAAACTGCAGAGATACGGTGGAAAGAGAAGTAGAAAATGTGATGGCAATACAGAATCTAGGTTTGATTAATTTGAGGAACATTGCAGCCTGCTCACCACTGCACACAGATCTAATGTTTTCTTCTGCCACCATTTCTATCTTGCTTTGTATAAGTCACGTTTTATATACGTCATGATTTATTTGCTAAGTCTGTTTCCATTGTACCAACCTTTCCCACCTTAGCCAAGCAGGAAAGGTTTTGGAGATATTCTTATTCAAACTTTATGCGTTTCCACTTAACTTTTTGCACAAATGGAAATCATTAAACCTTTTAAATATCAATAAGGAACTACAAAGGGAGAACCTCCTCATGGTCTAAATCATTTCTATCCATGCTTGGAGGCTAAAAGCATTAGCGCTACCCTACAGTCCCAAGCAGCAGAAGTGAACTTCCCACAAAAAAATTAAAAGAAAATTAGAGGGTGGGCGGTCTTGGAGCACATTGCATTGGTTTTCAGCAGTGTAAACACCTGGAAGGCACCAGCACCAGATAGTATCCCTGGTCGTACACTCAAGACCTGCACTTTTTAGCTAGCACCAGTATTTAAGACCATCTTCAAATTCTCTCTGGTCCAGTCTGCTATCCCCACATGCCTCAAAAAGTCCACAATTGTCCCTGCACCCAGGAGCTTCTGTCAATCCTGGCAGAATGACTACCGTCCAGTGGCGCACACCTCTGTGGTCATAAAGTGCTTCAATCAGCTGGGGAAAAAAACAGGTCAACTGACAACGCCATAAGCTGCATACAGCCCTTACCCATCTGTACAACAGGAAGGGGAATGATTGTTTTGACTGTTCACCACCTATAGGACTTTACCACTTAATGCAAATGGTTGTCTTTGACGGCTGCGAAATTTGTGTCCACAGACACTCGAAAACATTAAACACCTGCACTGTGGACAGTTTATTGTCAGGGAACATCACCACACCCAGGAGGACTGCAATGGCCTGCAGAGAGTGGAATGGTCTGCCGGACGGACTACCACCAGGCATTGCACAACCAAGGTCAGTAAATTATAGAACTATTGCAGTCAGGGTAGCTCTACCACAGGCAAAGGGCCAGAATGGAGAGGCTAAAGAGGAGCTACCTCCCTAAGGCCATCCGGAACTGCCAGGATTCCAGACAGTCCCTTCCTCTACATCCCTTTAATATCTACACCATATTT